ACAGCTGCGCTTCCAGGGTCTGCCCAAGCGGGCGTGCTGCAGACTCAGCCCGTCCAGGCTTGGGGTCAGGGTGAGGGATCCCGGGAGAGCATCACGTGAGCCCTGAGCATCCTGGGAACTGTCCACGCACTTCACCCTGATGGGAGAAGCCGCACCCCTGGCACTGGGAGAGGGCACTGAGGCGACCCACGCTGGTGTCTGTGTCCGTGCAGACCGTGTACAGAGAGCCCTGGTGCTAGCGACTTCACCTCCGGGGCCCAGACCCGATGGGGAAGTGTGGGGGGCCATGGGCGTGGGAAGCTGCTCTGTTCATCCACGTTTAGATTTTCAAAGTGTTACAGGCAGAAGCTTTCTAGTTTCTCAAACTGATTTCTTCAGAAACTGAGCCAAAGAAGTTGAGTCTCCATGTTTTAAGAAACTACATGGCTGTTATGTTTGTTTTTAAAGTGATTAGGAACAAGGGGCGAGACATCTTTTCCCTATTTTAAACCTGAAACAATGAAACACTTTCCAGTTTGTGGCTGGTCCCAGAGGAGGTGTCTGAGTCCTGGGGTGGTGAGACTGGGTGGTTGGGAGCTCGTGTATATTTGGGGGGTGGGGGGAGACTGGGTGGGTATTGATTAGTCTGAGACGAGGTTTACCGGGAGGGAAGGACTAAGGGGTCCACGATCTGTTAAGACTTCTGACCTCACTCTGCGGTCTGGGCAGTGATGCTCAAACTGTACAGCGTTCGGGAAGGATGTGGACACTTAAAAAATACTCAGATGCCTGGATCCCATCAGAGAATTCTGAAGTAACTCTTTATGGGCAGATATTAGTTTTCTATTGCTGCATAACAAATTACCAAAACTTAGCAGACTAAAACAACACGCATTTATTATCTCAGTTTCCAGGAGTTAGATGTTGGGCACAGCTTGGATGGGCCCCTGGCTCAGGGTCTCAGACGGCTGCAACCAAGGTGTCAGCCGGGCTGTGCTCTCTGTTGGCAGAATTCCTTTCCTTCTGGCTGTAGGGCCGAGGGCTTGGCTTTTACTGGCTGTCGACTGGATGCACTTTCAGGTCTCAGAGGCCACCCCAGTTCCCTGCCACGAGGCTACTCCAGCCCCAGTTCACAGCATGGCTGTTTTCTGCTTCAAGGCCTGCAGGACACAGCAAGAGAGGCAACCTGCTCAGAATATGTGTATGTATGTTTGTATGTGTATAATATGATGTACATATGTATAAAATAGATATGTAATAGTATACATGTGTACATAAAATACAACGTGGAAGGTACGTAAAGTACATGTAACAAATGCAATAATGTATGTATATACAAAATAATGTCATCGAGGGGCTGACAACTATCACTCTTGCCTCTTCTGCTGGTTAGAAGCAAGTCACAATATCCACCCCCAATCCAAGGGAGGGGGGGGGGGGTGTTTGCATACAAAGATGCGTAATAGTATACATGTGTACATAAAATACAACGTGGAAGGTACGTAAAGTACATGTAACAAATGCAATAATGTATGTATATACAAAATAATGTCATCGAGGGGCTGACAACTATCACTCTTGCCTCTTCTGCTGGTTAGAAGCAAGTCACAATATCCACCCCCAATCCAAGGGAGGGTGTCACTCAGTGGGGTCACCTTAGGAGTGTCTGCCACGTGGTTGACTTGGGCAGTGGCACTTTTCAAAACTCCCAAGAAATTTTAATGTGCAGCAAACATTTGAGAAACATGATCCGAGGACCCGTGCTGTCATCTAATTCCAGAGGCAGGTGGTATCTTCCTCCTGCAGTCACCGCCTGATCCGGGCCAGCCGCTGACCAGGAACCCAGACACAGACTTGTTCACTCTGGGACGATCCTTACACCCACTGGGGGAGATGTTGCAGGTGCAGCTGGATGCACTAGATGGAAGTTGCAAAGAAGGGTTGAATGACCTGATTAATTTGGCAAATTATTTCAAAAACTATCTACATTCTCGTATTATTAACAAAAGCATTGTCTGTTTAAATTAAAAACTACAAAGCAAATAAAACAAACAAAAAGTAAAAGAATATGAGGAAAATACATTAAACTAACATTTTGGCATTGGGAAACTGAAGATGTTATTTACAAGCACCAAAAAATCTCAGAGGAGAGACTGATGCATTTGACCATATCTAAAACTTTTACACAAAGTGAAGCGATGAACCACAAAGTGAAAATGTATTTAAAATGCACTTAACTGACAACTGGTCAGTTTCTGAAATTCATGAAGAACTTAAGTAAACACACAGCAAGGAAGGAATCCACTTTTTAAAAACACAGGAAAGGACTCGTGACCAGGACTTCGTGCCCTACGAGGGGACAATGACCATAGGATCTTCTCACCTGCACAAACTTCACAAACAAGCAAATGGAAATAACCCGAGACTGGTCTCCAGCCCTGGAGGCACAAAGAACCCCAAAGCCACCCTGCGGGGGGGCACCAGAACTCCTGTGCCTGGCTGCACGTGGCTCCCTTGGGGGGGGCGAGTCCATGACTCAGCACTTTCACTTCCTGGAAGACCAGGCTCCGGGTAGATATGCAAATGAGCCCAGAGCACCATGGGAAATGGCCCTTTATAAGCCCAGGTGGGCTCGGCTTCCCCCTTTCCCAAGTGCCCACTGGAGAGGAGGCACTAGCTTGGTGAGGGTGTCGCCTGAGGAGAGGTCTGGGGACGCGACCTGGCGCTGCGTCAGCGGCTTAGAGGCTGAAGTGGCCATATTGGCCCTGGTGGTGTGTGGGTCAGCTCGGGCGGGGGAGGGTCCTGGGAAGAGGGTCCCTCAGGGTCTGTCAGGTTCTGTCACCTTCCCTCAGAGTTCCTCTGGTTCTGTCACCTTCCCTCAGTTTCTGTCACCTTCCCTCAGGCTCCCTCAGGTTCTGTCAGCTTCCCTCAGGTTCTATCGCCTTCCCTCAGGTTCTGTCAGCTTCCTTCAGGTTCTGTCACCTTCCCTCTGGTTCTGTCACCTTCCCTCAGTTTCTGTCACCTTCCTTCAGGGTCCCTCAGGTTCTGTCAGCTTCCTTCAGGTTCTGTCACCTTCCCTCTGGTTCCGTCAGCTTCCCTCAGGTTCTGTCGCCTTCCCTCAGGTTCTGTCAGCTTCCTTCAGGTTCTGTCACCTTCCCTCTGGTTCTGTCAGCTTCCCTCAGGTTCTATCACCTTCCCTCAGGGCCTCTCAGGTTCCGTCACCTTCCCTCTGGTTCTGTCACCTTCCCTCAGGTTCTGTCACCTTCCCTCTGGTTCTGTCAGCTTCCCTCAGGTTCTGTCACCTTCCCTCAGAGTCCCTCTGGTTCTGTCAGCTTCCCTCAGGTTCTGTCACCTTCCCTCAGGCTCCCTCAGGTTCTGTCAGCTTCCCTCAGGTTCTATCGCCTTCCCTCAGGTTCTGTCAGCTTCCCTCAGGTTCTATCGCCTTCCCTCAGGTTCTGTCAGCTTCCCTCAGGTTCTGTCGCCTTCCCTCTGGTTCTGTCACCTTCCCTCAGGTTCTGTCACCATCCCTCAGTCCCTCAGGTTCGGTCAGCTTCCCTCAGGTTCTGTCACCTTCCCTCAGGTTCTGTCAGCTTCCCTCAGGTTCTATCACCTTCCCTCAGGGCCTCTCAGGTTCCGTCACCTTCCCTCTGGTTCTGTCACCTTCCCTCAGGTTCTGTCACTTTCCCTCAGGTTCTGTCAGCTTCCCTCAGGGCCTCTCAGTTTCTGTTAGTTTCCCTCTGGTTCTGTCACCTCCTTCCTGGTTTTATCAGCTTCCCTCAGGTTCTGTCACCTTCCCTCTGGTTCTGTCAGCTTCCCTCAGGGCCCCTCAGGTTCTGTTAGTTTCCCTCTGGTTCTGTCACCTCCTTCCTGGTTTTATCAGCTTCTCTCAGGTTCTGTCACCTTCCCTCAGGTTCTGTCACTTTCCCTCAGGTTCTGTCAGCTTCCCTCAGGGCCCCTCAGGTTCTGTTAGTTTCCCTCTGGTTCTGTCACCTCCTTCCTGGTTTTATCAGCTTCCCTCAGGTTCTGTCACCTTCCCTCAGGTTCTGTCACTTTCCCTCAGGTTCTGTCAGCTTCCCTCAGGTTCTGTCAGCTTCCCTCAGGTTCTGT